TTCTGGTCCTAGCGCTTGAACTCAGAGCCTGTCCTTGAGCCTCTCTGTGCTCAAGGGTAGCTTTACCACTTGAGTCACAGTGCCACTTCCGGCTTTTTCTGTTAATGTGGTACTGAGGAGTCAAACCCAGGTCTTCATCCATGCTAAGCAAGCACTCTACGGCTAAGCCACATTCCTAGTCACAAAATAAACACTTTTAAATACAGATATGGTGACTTCCTGTAATGCCAACTATTGAGAGGCTGAAGAGGGGGAATCACAAGTTTGAGACTAGTATGGGCAATGTAAGGAACCTCATATCAAAAATAAAATGAAACAAAAAAGACAGCAAAAAATAAAAAGCCAACCAATACCAAACATCACCACCAAAAAACAATCAAATGAAGAGTTTCAAAGGCTTGGGTGGCAGTTACACATTTTTATTCCTGATGGTTTCAGTGCTTTTTCCAGATGATGCAACGGGCAATGAATGGATTGACCATGGCCCATTAAGGAGGTCAGACTATTAGGTTCACAATGTGAGGCTCAGGACAGTGGACTGGCCTGGTTGGTCAGGGGTCAACCTCAGCAAAAAGTGGATAGTTCCTGGTTTCGATGCTATGGCTTTGCATTGATTTCTTTTACATCTTGTCAATTTGGCTCATTGTCAATGCACAAGAAACTGCTTGCAACTCCCTGAAAGTCATTGCCAGGGATAGTCTGGCTCTGCTGCTCGTACATATCCCATTCCATCTGTTCTTTCCTGAAACACGGTGTTGGCAATGTAGCATCAGATCCAGGCAATGAAACAGAGCAAGCAAAATGGATGCAACTTCCAAGTGGTGGCTTTCCCAAGCTCTCCAGAATGCTGCCTTGAATCTCATTAGTCTCCAGTGGACGGAAATTCAGGAGAATCAGAGATGCCCATTCAGTCATACTTTCAACTTAATCCACAACACATCCTTGTTCTGTCCAATAGACAGAGGATTCTATCCACCGGAATGACCCACTTATATCTTCCTCTGTTCATCTAAGCCTTGCTACCTAAATGGTGAAGGGATCAAATTAAAGCATTTCAAAGTGACTTCTAAGAAGCCTTTACTAATATCCCCATGACCTACTCTGAACCCCAACACTGGCATTAGTAGGTAGGGGTAATTCTTTTGGCTCCAACAACATCTTATGATTACTTTGTTTTATTTAAACACCATATTAGCATCTTCACTTGTGTTAACTAAGATTGTGAGCTCTTAGAGGGTATCTACTGTATCTTATATTCCTCAATGTGGCTCCATGATCTAGCACAATGGTGCAAAGTAAATCGTAAATACATACATGTATATATTTGTATGTCATTCATGTATATTTGTTATTATTACTACTATATATGCTAAACCAAAGTTTGCATCAAAATCCTTCTTTTGAAGCCTGGAACATCTAATCCTAGGTACTCAGGAGGCTGAGATCTGAGGAATGCAGTTAGAAGTTAGCCAGGACAGGAAAGAATGTGAGCTGAAAGTGGAGCTGTGGGTCAAGTGGTAGAGCACCATATGAGCAAAAGAAAAACACCCAGGGACAGTGCCCAGGACCTCAGTTCAAGCCCCAGGACAGGCATGATAAAAAATAAAAACAAAACAAAAAACCAACCAACTTGTTCTTTTGGAGCCTTCAAGTGCACACCATGATTCCAAGTGTCAGTTTTACCATATTTAAAATAGTAATAATAACAAGTTTTATATGGATGAGAACTAATGAAAAAAACCATCTGAGTGTACAGTACACAGGCTGTCACAGCACTCATGCAAATCCTATCATTTATTGCTTGTTATTTTATAGCTTATTCTATTTAGTTTATATTTTGTCTAGTTTATATCTCTTTGATTTATATTTCTATTTGTACAGATCTTTTGTATTTATTTATATATAATATTTTACATGTTATATTATCCTTTATATATAATATTTTTCTTTTTTCTTTCCTTTTTTTTTGGGCAGTACTTAGGTTTGAATTCAGAGCAAATGAGCCATGACCCCAACCCAAATTCTTGTACATACTTATTATTATTGTTGTTGTTGAAGGGGTGGTCTTGGGGCTTAAACTCAGGCACTAGACACTGAACATATTTTTGTTTTGCTCAAGACTAGTGCTCTACCACTTGTACCACACCTCCACTTCTGGATTTTGGGTGGATAGATGGAGATAAGAGTTTCTCAGACTTTCCTGCCTGGGCTGGATCTGATCCTCAGATCTCAGCCTCCTTAGTAGCTAGGATTACAGGCATGAGCTACCAATGCCTGAGAGTATATGTTATTATTTATTATGTTATTATTTTTTAGCCAGGATGCTTAGTTAAGGAAGCTTGATTTATACATTTTGTCTGGACTTTTGCATTTTTTTCTTTCTTTTTTGGGGGGAGGGGGTCCGGTTGAGGACCTGAACTCTGGGCCTGGGAGCTGTCCCTTAGCTCTTCAGCTCAAGGCTAGCGCTCTACCACTTGAGCCACAGTGCCACTTCTGGCTTTTTTTTTCTGCTTATGTGGTGCTGAGGAATCGAACCCAGGGCCTCATGCATGCAAGGCAAGCGCTCTACCACAGAGCCACCTTCCCAGCCCTTGCATTTTTTTCCTTAAAAAGGAGACCCAATTTCTCTTCAGAGAAGAAAAGGTACAGCCTCCAGACTATATTTGGCCTCAAAATAGTACAGACACTTTTTTTTAAACCCTCTTTTAGGCTGTTAGGTCAAATAACATCAGGAAACCTGCTGGAATGGCATCCTCCAGCTGACGGCTGCTCACCATCACATAGCCACAAACTAGGGAACTGTATGGACAATGAGGCAGGAACTCCCTGTAACAACTTTCTCTGAGGGGAAACTTGATAGACACTGTTCTAGCTATACTGTGGGAAAAATGCCCCTGATAGACTCAGCAGAGCCAGGGAACAACAGTGCTGCTCCTGATGCCAAAGATATCCTGAGAAACAGAAAATGTGTAGTGACAGAACCAACCAACAAATATCCCACCTCTCGAAAACCAGTGAAAAATGGGAGGCACAAGACACAGGAATCTATGCATATTCATGAAGAGAATATTGGGAAACTTTTTCTTTTACACTAAAGAAGCAACAAAAATAATAGAGTTTAAAATAACTGACTCTGGCACCAGTGGCTCATGCCTGTCTGTAATCCTTGCGACTCAGGAGGCTGAGATTTAAGGATCCGCAATTCAAACCCAGTCCGGGCAGGAAAGTCCCTGAGACTCTTATCTCCAATAAACTATTCAGAAAAAAGCCAGAAGTGCTACTCTAGTTGTAGAGTGCTAGCCTTGAGCAAAAAAAGCTCAGTCAGGGCCCAGGCCCAGAGTTCAAGCTACAAGACCAGAAAACAAATAAACAAAAAATCAACTGGGCCAATCTACAAGTCATTGTCCATGGTAAATATAGGACATCTATCTCAGAATGCATGAAGAGAGAACACCTCCTCATGGCATAAAATCATATTTATCTACGCTTTAAGAATGTATTTCTTTAGGCCTGCTGTAGGGTACCATCCAGGTATACAATTAGATATACGTTCTCCATGTCATCTTAACTCACATTCTACCAAGAGCACCTTTTATAGTATGTAGAGGTTGTTCACATACAAGAGAAAAGACAAACATCCATGATTGTGTAGGGTGTAATAAGTGGAGATTGAACCCTATCATTGTCAGCATGGCAGGTGTGTACAAGGTGCCCAGGTAGGATTCAGCCATCTCTAAAAGAATGGAGTTAAAAGTAACTCTGTAGCTCCATCACTGCAAAGGGAAACCAAGCACTCACACAGAATTGGGATTCATTTGGAAACAATCAGCTGCTTGAGAATGTGTGTATCAATTCCCTTCATTCACAATTCATACAGTATTTTGATTGTGGTGCTCAGTAATAAATAAGTGAAATGACTTCTAACTGCTCAGAGACTTACTCTTCTGTCTTCACCACCACATGTCATCTGCTTCAAGATAATGGTAAACTTTATATGCAACACTGAAATGGTATTCAGAGGGAGATGAGAAGAAAAAAAGGAGCCAATAGATATTTCATCTGGGGAATTGAATGCAAAAATCACATTCAAACTGCAGCAGTTGCTGTCCAATAGTGAATACATAAAATATATGACCATTACAAATCCACTGTTCATCACAAAGCTGCCCTCTTGTAGTGACATATGTTATTGGTTGATTAGAGCCTTTAGCAAGATGAAGCCATCTTTTTCACCTTCTAGATGTGAGAGGTAGTTCTGCCCAGCACAAACCCCTCCCTACCTAAGGAAGAGATTTTACAGAGAGAACCTGAGTCAGGAGCAGAGAACTGCAACTACTTGGAAAGGGAAGTGGCTAGCTAGAGTTGTGTCTTTTGCACGAAATTGCCACAATATTTCACATTGCCAAGCTCTGCTGAACCCAAAAGGAGACATCAGCCAAAGTTATTTTCTGGAATAAGTCCCAAGACATACATTTGATATCACAAATATTCAACCAATGTAAGTTTGAACAATACTGAAAACACAGTTTCATGTAAGACATGGAGCATGCTGGGTACTAGGACAAGTATATACGGATCACATAAGTCAGTGATATGATTACAATGTAAATGTACTCGAATGAGGAAGTTTATAGAATGGCTTCCCAGATTCTTCTAACTCAACCCCAAATCCCGTTTATGGCTCAAAGACACATCTTCATGGATTTTGTACATCATAAAGTGGTGCAACAGTCAGTGATGCTTCCTTTAAAACATTTTTGAAACAAGGCTTTCCGAAGTTATCTCTGACTGCTGCCTCCCCTGCTTTCCTGACTGACATATGTGCCAATATGAGTGACACATGCACTACGCTTCCGGTTCCCAGGTGACCCACCCAGTGGGAGGAACGCAGCAGGCATTCAACACATCTTTCTTGAATGGATATGAATGAATGACACAATGAGGACAGCATATGGCTTTGGGACAGTTGTGTCAGATGCACAGAAGCACTTTTCACTTACTTCCCACTCTTAGATGTGTTCCGAGTCTTTGTGGCTGCTGGAGAGTTGGCGGCTGGGTTAGTGCTCGAAGAGCCCCGTCTATCCTTACTATACCCACAAAAGAACAGAAAAAAAATTGATGACAAGGACCAAAGAGACAAAAAGATAATCACTTCATTTGAAAACAGATTTTAAGACGTTCTCTATCTCTGTCTGGCTCTCTTTGTGTCTGACTCCCTGTCTGTCTCTGTCTCTCTCTCTCACATAAAGCATGGATTAATCCACTGGTGCTCTTCAAAAATAAAGACAGTAGGAACCATTAGTGAAGCTCAAAGAAAACTTTTGTTAAAGACCTTCAAAACTTGAAACTAAGCTAGGCACCACAGGCTCATACCTGTAATTCCAGTTACTCATAGGAGGCTGAGATCTGAGGATCATGGTTCAAAGCCAGTCTGAGCAGAAAAATACATGAGACATTTTCTGCAGTCAACCACCAAAAAGCTAGAACTGGAGCTGTGGCTCATATAATAGAGCACCAGTCTTGGGCTAAAAAGCTAAGGAACAGAGCCCCGGTTTGGTGTTCAAGCTCCACTACTATCACGAATGCACACACGTGTGCGCGCACACACACACGCACGCACGCGCGCACACACACACGCACACACACACACACACACACACACACACACACACACACACACACACACACACACACACAAAACCCTTGAGCTGGGAGATTTCATTAATGATAGCACCAAAGCCCAAATAAGCCCAAAGGAAGGTTTTAGTGGAGAAAAAAAGTACAAAGTAATATTTAACATAAAATCCTTTCCTTCAGCCACTGTATTATCTGCATTGAAAGTTTAGTTCTGAAGTGTATGGATATCAAATGACTTCAAAAAGTCTTTGGGTGATACTATCAGATGAATTAATAATTTTCACTCATAATGTTACATGGGAAGGCCATGAATTCAGATATTCTTTCACGAGAAGTACCACCTGCTTCATGAGTAATTGAATTTAAATCTCCACCTTCAATAACTCCACAGCTTATGGAAAACCTTGGAAACAATTACTAAATAAATCACAAGGAAACTCTGCTTAATCTCATCAGGTTAATAAATGCAGACAAATTAATCACCTCAAGGTAAACAAAAAGGAATAATTGATTGGAGTCTCCTTGATTATTTCATTTTATTTCCTTTATCAAACTATTTTACCATTATCTTCAATTCAGCTACTCTGACATGAAATTATTACTTTACTTCATCTTCAGATTTCCATGGAAACAGATTCCAAGCCTCTCTCTTTCCACTTGATAGTGTGTGGAATTATTTATCCTGATTTCATCAGAAATATTTTTTTTCCTGTTAGGAAGATCTGTGTCAGCATAACCTTTTTATCAAAAGTGAAGGTAAAAGAAAAAAAAAAGTCTATCTTGCCTTTCAAGGTGTATTATAGGATCTCCCAATGGTATAGAATATTTTCTGAGAGTCATATTAAAGAGCTTTTTAGCACCATCTGATGAGAAGCGTCAGCGTCTAGCTGTATTTATGTTTGGATCAGGAGGTCATGAATGATCCTGGCTTCAATGGCTACATAGATGTGAATGGAACAAGAGATGCTGAGGGACTCCTGGTGATTACAAAGGTGGCAGAGACAACCACTAATCCAGTGGATAACAAAGGGCCTAGTAGTTCAGACTCAGGATCCTGGAGGTCTAAAAGGCAGCTGTTCGAAGTAGAAGCTGATTCCTTATTTTTTATTTTTGGTTGGTCGTGGGGGCTGAACTCTGGGCCTGGATGATGTCCCTCAGCTCTTCAGCGCAATGCTAGCACTCTACCCCTAGAGCCACAGGGCCACTTCCAGCTTTTTCTGCATATGTGGTGCCGAGGAATCGAACCTAGGGCCTCATGCATGTGAGGCAAGCAATCTACCACTAAGCCACCTTCCCAGCCCAGAAGCTGAATTCTTATTCTGATCCTTAGTAGGTGGTTTGGGAGAGGAGGGAAGGGAGGGGGCAGGGAGACAGGAGTGAGCACCTGGCTGTGATTTCCACTCAGTGTGAGGACTATTTTTCCATGCTACATGTTGGATGGGAACTGAAAACTTGCCTTAAGACACGCATGATGAGTTGGGGTGGGGGAAGCTCTTAACAAGATGTAGGACCATAACCAACTATCTTTGTTATCTAGAACCAAGTTCTGAAATTAACTGATAATACAAAAAAAAGAGACAAAAGATTCTCACTCAGAACAATTCAAAATGAGCTCTTCTAGAAGGTTGGTGTAGTCTAATGTAAATGATGCAATATACTATGTGATACAAAATCCAAGTTGTTTTTGGCTTCCTTAACTGCATAATTCCCATTCACTGGCCAATGAGCCTTTCTTTCCCCAAACCCTCAGTCAAATAGCAGCAGTGGAAGTACTCAGAAAACAGGGTCTTTTGATGTGTCCTATGCACAAAAGGCTCAGGGTTGGTGGGCATTGAATGCTTTCTGAGTCTCTACATGCAGGCATCCATGCGATTTTGAATAAAACAATACCCTTTTCCATTGCTAAATTCTCACATCTATGCCTTGAGCAAGACAGTCCTCTGTTGTCTGCATTAGGAGGGACTGTGTTTAAGCACAACAGGGGGCTCTGCAGGACATCAGGGAAAAGTGTCAGCTGGCTGGGGCAGCCTCATTATTGCTAGAGTTGAGTGATCCTGCACCAGGCCTTTAAAGGACAGAAATAAGGATCCTTTGACTTAGGAAAAACCCTACAATTGCATATCTGGCTTAAGGATAAATCAGACAGAGGGTAAAAAGTAATGAAATGACTCAAAATGTTGGTGTGTGCAAATAACAGGTCCATTCATGGTGGGCAAATGTATCAGAAAAGGGAGGGGCAAGAAGAACTTATGGCAGGCTTGACTCCTAAGAGGGGGTAATTTTTTTCAGTGACAATAAGGGCTATTGTACAGAAAGAAAAGTCTGTTCAATATTGCCAGGAAAGAACATTGTTACTCGCCCAAGGACCCAAGTTGGGTAGATAAGCCTGGACAAGATGCTAGAATTTTTCAACCTTGAGACAGAAAGAGATCTAAAAGAGTGCAATCAAGGACCTTTAGTTGTTAGAAATGCCAAAGAAGAGATAAAGAGAAAATCCTGCAGCTGTAGACGGGTAGGAGCCTCCAAGATCTGAAAAGATGGGGGGTCAAGGACCTAAAGATTAAGATGCCGCCAAGAATTCTGGCCACTGAAACATCCAGCAATCCCAGAGATTTCCAGGAATAAACTTTGTCTGATTCAAGGATACTTGGATGATAATTTGGAGGTAGATGAGATTAGGGAGGGGTTTACCTAGAATTTGAGCTGACTAGTAAACGACGTGTCTGAAACAAACCTGCCCCACTTGTCATTCTTTTGATCTGTGTCTTGGTCACTTGTCAGCCCTCTTCACTTTCATCTCTTTCAAGTATGATCTCAAAGGCTGTGGCTTAAATCCCTGTGGGCCCCCCTGCCCCCCAAGTAGAGATCATCTTCTGAAGATAAGATTCTTTCTTCCTTCCAGTGTCTCTCAACCAAGCCTCATCAAAGGCCTGGGAAGACAATTTCAGGTGAGTTTCTGATACTAAAAGCTAATGGATGCCAGTCCTCTGTTTGCTTGATGGCCAATCTTCTTTTCAAATAAACTTTCTTCTACAGGCTCCAATGCAACAAAAGTGCAAAAGAGCCTGAGTTGTGAAACAGGAACTCTTCTGTACACTAACTTAAGAATAACAATAAAATTATATATATATATACATATATATATATATGTATATATGTGCAATAGAAAATCCTGTAGAAAGATGTACATTGCATCCAAGTAGGAAAGTGCTAGCAAATCTAGTTCATCAGCACTGTCAAAGCCTTTCTAATTAAATAATTTGATGCTGAATTGATATCTAGGGAAATTCAACCAAATGGTGTTCAGATCCGTTATGATGGTTTTTTCTTATGTTAGAAAAGTACCTATGAGGGCTGGGAAGGTGGCTCAGTGGTAGAGGGCTTGCCTTGCATGCTCAAGGTCCTGGGTTCGATTCCTCAGCACCATATAAGCAAAAAGAAAAAAGCCAGAAGTGGTGTTGTGGCTCAAGTGGTAGAGCGCTAGCCTTGAGCTGAAGAGCTGAGGGACAGCGCCCAGGCCCAGAGTTCAGGCTCCACGACTGGACCACCACCCCCCCCCCAAAAAAAAGAAAAAAAAGTACCTATGAGAGGGGAACCTAGTAGTTTAAAAGCTCCTTGGTTCATCATCTTTATGGGTGACATAAACCTGTTTCCCATAGTACTTTGCAATCCCTTTTGTGTAGTTAGTCTTGGATCCAAAAAAAAAATGAATTATATGTCTGCAGCTGAATAGTACTGAAACTTTATAAATCATTGTTTTTACAAAAAACACCCAAGACCTAGTAACTTGTTTTTTGGTAACAATTGAGTCAAGGAGTTGTACCAAAGTTCTTTTTTAAGTTCAAGTATCATTAAGTAGTAAAGGGTTTCAATTCAACATAGCAATTTATGAATGAAATGCATCTTGATCACTGTTACCCTTTCTATCATTCAAAACTTCTTACCATCCTCCAAAATTGATTTCTTGGAATTGCCTAAAAGAAGTGATTGATTTTTCTCACTATAAACATGGCAAAGAAAGGACTGGGGGCGTGATTAATGTGGTAGGGCACATGATCTCAATCTGCAAAAGGCATATGATAAAGAAAGGAGTGAGAAATCTGTAACAATATTATAGAACTGTGTGGCATCTTGGTTTATTATTTGCACACTGAGACATATCTGGCCATGGACAACATGGACAGTGGAGTGGGAAAGACAAGGAGGAATCTCTATGGGAGACAAGAAGGCCACCTGTATTGGGTGGTTAGAAGTAGAAAAGGGTGTTGCAGATGTCCATCCTGCTGGTACCTGGGAAATGTTCTCTAGACTTTTCCTGTCTGTTGTTTGACTTAGTCTAGCCCATTTGACTGATCCATACTGAATTCACAACTCTTTCTTCTTAACTTTCATGAGTAGTCTCATGAATGTGTTTCTTCAACAACATCCCAATTCACCATTTGCAATGCCCTGCTGGCAGGACCAGTATTGGCAAAGCCTAGGCTTCTGGTAAAGTGAGCCTCATGCTGCCCTTTCTTTCCCACACATACCCTCTTCTGTATATATGCTCTAATTGTGAGACACTATCTGCTACTCGATGTGGCAAGACCCTCATCAGATATGACTCACTTCTAGCTTTGCTACCTCCAGAATGACAGGTACAAGAAACCTCTGTGCTTATACATTTCCTATTCCCAAATATTCTGTTCAAGCAATCAAAAACTACAATGACATCACCCCCAAGATATTGATTGAACAGACACTGACAAAGAGGCTGAATGTGAGCTCAATAGAAAAGACTGTTTAGCAGGTTTACAATGTCTGAAACCAGTGGGAGAGAAGAAAGTGGTGCACAGGTCACATCTCTTTCATCCTTGAAGAGGAATCTTCAGGAGAATGGGAGGTTAGTTCTTCATGGTTGATCATTATGTGGATCAGAAAGGAATCAAGCAAGCTTGGCTGGATGGTTAGCTACATCTGTGATAACAACAATAAATCTATCATTAACTGTACAGCTCTAAATGCTTTCCAATATGTGTTCTTATTGATAATGAATACAAAATGTGAACTCTAGTTGATGGATTGTTTCAAGTCTCTCTGGGGGAAACAGTGGCTACTCTTTACTCATAGAGCTCCCAGGTTGCAAAAATGCATTTACCACACATAGAACTGTATGTAAGCAGGGACAGGAGCTCGTCTAGTTTGCTTTCCCAACAGGTGCCTGAGTCCCTTCCAGAAGCCTTCCACCAAATGGTAATCTTTTGAAGGCTTTTAAAATTGTGACTGACTCCCTCTGAGAGCCTGCTTTTCTTTTCCAAGAGGCTTGCATTTCTAAAGTAGTTTGCCCTTGTGTCACAGAGCAAGACAGCCCTTCAACTATTGATTTCCTTTAATTAAAGCTGATGAGACTTCTGTAGTTCATTTTTCTACATTGTAAGGTTATGTCTTGAGTGATTTTCTTTCTTTGCTGCATTGTTTTTCCTTTTTCAGTTCTTCTATTTGAATTGTCTACATTAGAGTTCCATACTCCCTGAAGTGTCCAGTACTTATTATCTATATCTGTTAATCATTTAGCAGAAAAAGTTCAGTTCTCTAAGATGTACTTTTTTTTTGTTGGTTGTGGGGCTTGAACTCAGGGCCCAGGTGCTATCCCTCACCTTCTTTGTGCTCAAGGGTAGTGCTCTACCACTTGAGCCACAGCACGACTTCCGGTTTTTGAGTGGTTAGTTGGAGATAAGAGTCTCATGGGGACTTTTCTGCCCGGTCTAGATCCTTAGATCTCAGCCTCCTGAGTAGCTAGGATTACAGATGCATGCCACTGGTGCCTGGCTAAGATGTACTTTTGCTTAACTGTCTTTCCTAGTTTTCCTTATCATAAATAGGGAAAATGACGTGTGTGGTCTGTGTGTGTGTGTGTGTGTGTGTGTGTGCGTGTGAGAGAGAGAAGAAGAAAGCTCATCTCCTAAGTAATTAGGAATCTTGAGTTCTAATCTTGGCTGCCAGCAAGAAATTTAAATTTTTATGGCTTTAGCACTATCATCTTTAAAGAAAGGGAATTAAATGGATCACATAAACCATTCATAGAGAATCTCATAGTGACTCTGTCCTTGCAAAGCATTGGGAAAAGGCAGCCTTCCATTATCATTCTCTCTTCCCTTCCATTGACTTTTCACTGTAACAGCTCACCACTGCGCATGAGGAAGAGGAGCGATGAACTCACTCATTGTTGCTATTTTGTACTCTTCATCATTTAGCATGTGCTGGCTTTGCCCAGGGAGTGGCAATGTCATCCCTGAATGCCTCATTGGGGACAACAGAGAACAGGAGTCAGTTTCTAAATTATATTATTCTCTTGGGTAAGCAGGCTAATCATGTATGCCTTTACTAAGAGTATGGATCTTGGTTAGGGTATCAAATGAGAGTGAAACTCTGATAGTCACAGTCCTCTTGCTCTGTTCTTGCATCCATATCTAGCCCTCTATTCCTACATCAGATGAGAGCGTTAAGAGCAAAAGTCATAATCATTGTGCTGAGCATACCTGTAATTGTACCAACTCAGGAGGCTGAGATCTGAGGATCATGATTCAAGGCAAAAAAAAGTCCATGAAACTGTTATCAGGGATAGGATCCAGGCCCTGAGTTCAAGTCCCAGGACTGAGACACACGTGCGCGTGTGCACACACACACACACACACATACAACACATGGACACATGCATACAATCATAGTCATGGGATTGTATGGTTGAAGGTAATTGCACCTGAAATATGAAAGGAGCATGGGTTGATAAGGTAGTTATGGAGGTAAGAAAAAAGAAACTTTACTACTGAAAGAAAATATACACAAACTTGGGGTTTGACTACATCTGGGGAATGAGAACAAAATCAAAGCAGCACTTGCTGCAAATGTTTGGAAGTGAGATGACGGAAAACAAATTGATTCAGAGAGAGAGAGAGAGACAGATGAGTTAGGTGGAGGATGTGGGCTAGTGAAGATGATGGATTTGGTTTGGCTCATATCAAGTTGTGAGTATTGATAAACCATATGCACAAGGCAAGGAGAAAGATGTCACTGGAACTCAAGAAAAAGGCAAGGTCAGATGCATTGGCATTGCTCCAAAATGGTATTATAAGTCTTGAGACAAGCAGTGTGGCCTGATGGGAGGCTGATGGATTGGGATTAAGGAATAAACATTTCAGGAGGCATCTTGTGCCATAATATGCATTCTTCTACCCCAAATCATCAGAATTTGCAAGTGTACTAAAAGGACTTGTTTGGGTACTAGTGGTTCATGCCTATAAACCTAGATAATGAGAAAGCTGAGATATGAGGATGGTATTTTAAAGCCAGACTGAGCAGGAAACTTTGTGAGACTCTCATCCCCAATTAAACACTTGGGGGAAGGAGGAATTAGGGAGGTGGAGAGGGAAGGGATGGTAGAGGAAAAACAAAGGAGGAGGTAATAATGCTCGATAGAAAATGTACTCATTACTGTACTCATGTAATTGTAACCCCTCTGTACAGTATTTTTAAAATGAAAACACATATATATCTATATATAGACATATATAGATATATATAAAAGAAAGCTCATGTGGTAGAATGCTAGCATTGGACAGAAGAAGCTCACATACAGTGCCCAAGCCATGAGTTTAAGTCCTAGGACTGGAAAACACACACACACACACACACACACACACACACACACAAACACACACGACTTGGATATCAGCAGAGCAGATCAAATAAAAGAGCCTGATCTAGTTAACTTAGTTGTATAAAGATCAATGCTAAGGTTAATGAGAGGAAGCACAGGCCTTAATCCTTATGTAGCCCTATGGCTTGCTTTATTCCATGTCCTGGCCTACCCAGATGGTTTCCAGATGACAAAGTTACCTGGTGGAGAAAAGGGCTTGGCAATTATTGTCAACTCCTTCCCATAATGGACATACCTTATAAAGTATACCCATGCTACTGTCACCTTGGCAGGGACAGGACAACTCTGATGAACAAAACTGAGTCTTAAACCTGGGCTTTACTCATTCACCTCTCTTCTGTTCCTTGGAACCAAGGACTACAAATCTGTTAAGGAGTATAGTAAAAATCCACTCTGATTTTTCTATATAATTCCATTTCCTTTTCCTGTTCTGTCTCTGCATGATGGTTTATTCATTGCTCTCCTCAACCCCCTCCCCCAGGCATAGTCTCTCAGTTTTCTGCATAGCACAAAGATGCCACACTTTAGTTCCAGTACCACAGTTAGGTTTCAGGAAAGCTGTTTGAAGCAAATCCAGGCCCTGAGAATTGGTGAGTCTAACAAATTCCCACATGATGCTGCTATTTCCTTCCCTATGGATCATACCTTGAAACCCACTGGTACACAGGTTCCTTCCCAGAAATCCCCAAAGAAGCAGCTGTATCCATTGCCTCTGATTTCCAAGGAACACCATTACAATTCACTGTTGGAAGCCCCCCCCCCTCCCCCCGAGGCAGGAGAGTGGAGGATATAATGATATGTTTAGCAGGGTATCAACAATAGCCCAATGGCTAAGTGCATAGAACCATATGTATCAAAATGAACTCTAAGATTTGGAAAAAAGAGGTTCTTATTACATTCTGTTAGCAGTTGCTCTTATTTTTTTAGTTTTAGTTTTCTGTACCCTTTGTCTTTATTTTATGTACCCTTGTATATAAGCTTATCTGATCCATGGAAAGGAAAGAGACTCAGAGAAACAGCAGGACAAAGGATGAACTAATGCAACAATGACACTCACCAGATACTATGTTGGAAATAAACTTTAAAACATGGGGAGGAGGGGAGTGGAGAGGGGTAAGTGGGAGCAAATGAGGAAGGCGGCAACAGTGTTCCAAAAGAAATATACTCATTACCTTACTTATATAACTGTAACCTCTCTGTATAACACCTTTACAATATATATATATATATATATATATATATATATTTAAATGAAAAGAAAAGAGAGCTGCCCACATCCAAGTCTGCAGACACCACAGAGTGAAGCTCAATTGCAGGTTAGACAAGAATTGGATCTGACAAGCATTAATTGAACCCATAGTTCTGTTTACTGAAAACGATCGCGTATAATTAAAAATTCACAACTGGAGCCTAGTTAGGGAACATTCTACATTAGGAACTCTCCACAGTAGGCCAGAAAATTCTCAGGTCAACTTTTTAGGAAAAGCCAAGCAGCCAACTGCTATGGCAAGAATTAGCATAAGAAAGAAGAAAAGAGGCAAGGGAGAGGAAGAGGAGAAAGAGGAAGAAAAAGGAAGAAAGGGAAGGAAGGAAGGAAGGAAGGAAGGAAGGAAGGAAGGAAGGAAGGAAGGAAGGAAGGAAGGAGGGAGGGAGGGAGGGAGGGAGGGAGGGAGGGAGGGAGGGAGGGAGGGAAGGAAGACTACCAGTCTATTTACTTGGAACTAAGATTCTGATTTTATACAGCCGAATAATATGAACCAAGAATGTCCTTTTCCCTGGTGAATTATCTTTCATTTTTATTTTCTATTGAATGTATTCTTAAGGGATTTTCAAAAATGGCCTCTCTGCCTGCATGTTACATATTAACTTTCTTAAGGACAAAGTGTGTTAATGTATCGCTCACCAAGTATCAACATTTATCACACAGAAGGTTTTCAATATCTGCTGATTGACAACCATCCCTGATAAATCTGGCTTCTAACATAAGTTAGTTGAATTCACCTGGATGACTGACACATATTACATTAAAAGTATATTAAGGGGTGACTGTCCAAAAAGAAATGAATTCTTTACCTGACTTATGTAACTGTTACCCCTCTGTACATAAGATTTATATTGACAACATTTTTAAACTAAAAAAAAAGAAGTGTATTATTGGAGTATTGTGGCCTTCATTTATTTTTCCTTGAATACTTATGACAGATCACATTGCATAGCTAAAAAATGGAGACCACCATTGCAACACCATTTCTAAGATCCAGGACACACAGATATGAAAGTCAAGCAGAGTAAAACCAGTAAAAGACAGTAATGATGGAGAATGATATTGTTTTACTACCTGGGGACAATGCTAGAATTGTGCAGGAAGCATCGGCACTAGAATGGAGCAGAACTGGATTCACATTCTAGCATTGTATTACCAGGAGGCTTTGGGAAGAATTAGGTCATGAAAGTGAGTTGCTCCTATCCAGGACCTCTGATCTTGACAAAAGGATCAATCCTTAGCTTAGTGTCCAGAGTCAAGAGCATTGAAATATATCCTTATTGCTAAAGTTGGTATCTTAAGTGATTTCCAAGGGGGCAAATGTAGACAGGATTTGAAAGTGCCTCTGGAGCATTAGAGATGAAAAGAAATGACTCTGCTGAACTAGTGAATATATCCTGTGAAGTACTAAGAAAAGTTACCCAAAACTATGCTCCCACCTGCCTTTTTATGGGATTGAGCTGATTCTGAAAGTTTGTACATTTTTCATGTGTTAGAGGGGTAGTTAAAAGTTGAAAATGCTTCCATTTCTCTCCCTTTTATCATAGGTCATGAGGCTTGACCTCTGGGCCTGGGTGCTGTCCCTCAGCTCTTCAGCTCAAGGCGAGTGCTCTACCACAGTGTCACTTCCAGTTTTCTGAGTGGTTAATTGGAAATAAGAATCTCACAGACTTTCCTTCCTGGTCTGGCTTTCAACCCTGATCCACAGATCTCAGGCTCCTCAGTAGCTAAGATTACAGGAGTGAGGCACTGGTGCCAGGCTATTGCTTCAATTTTTTTTTTTAATGTATTTACATCATGTGTTTAGGCACCAAGAATGTCAATGCTGAAAGTTAGGCATTCCACTTTATAGACCATGTTTACTTTCATTTTGTTCATGAAACTTAAGAGTCAGTTTCTTTCTAATGTGGTCCCATTTGGAAAACAGCATTATTTTAGAATGAATGCTCATGAAAGATTAAAATTCTAGTAATTCATGAAAATAAAAGTCACTTCATTCCATGTAGTATGCAAGATAGGAATGCAGGCCCTGATCATACCAGGAGCACCAGATAGTCTCTTGATCATATACAATGTTAGATGTATGACATTATATAATCTCTAGTAATATATTTCTCTACTTGTTCTCGAGGTTTATTTTCATTTTTGTTGGTCATGGGGCTTGAACTCCGGGCCTGGGCGCTGTCCCTCAGCTCTTCAGCTAAAGGCAAGCGCTCTACCACTTGAGCCATAGCTCCACTTCAGGTTTTCCAGTGTTTTGTTGGAGATAATTTCATGGACTTTCCTGCCCAGGCTGACTTTGAACCACAATCCTCAGATCTCAGCCTCTATAGTAGCTAGGATTACAGGCGTGAGCCACTGGCAGTCGGCACACTCAAGTTTTAATATGTGTAGTCAAACACAGGATACTTAGCTGATCCAAAGATAAAGGCTCTTTATTGACTGTGAAACACTGAGAGAATGGAAAAGATCATGGACATAAGGAATGGAGAGGGATCCCTAGAGAAAAGAAAGGTTCTGAGAGAAGTGAGATATGTACACACACACACACACACACCCACACCCACACCCACACACACACACACACACACGGATACATACACTTAATGACAGGACTTGAATGGCAGAAAAATGAAGGTTATAGCTCCCATGGAGAAGACAGGAAGGCTTGGGGGCAAAGGTGATGTAACATGAACTGTGGCTCCATTTGCTAATGAAAGTAGTTCAAGAAGGGGGAGAAGCCTTTTATTGCTTTGATTATAAGAAGCATGTATTTTATTTTGAACTATGCTGACTATTGTGTTGAGTGGCTGGGTTGGTCATTGGGTAGGAGGATATAGAACTTGGCAGGACCTAGAGATCTGAGCTAAAGAAGAGCTTTTAGACATGGGAGTCTTGTAGTAGCTGGAGGAGAAGGAACTACACAGCAGAACAATGAAGAATGAGAAGTTATTCTCCAGGGAAGATGGTTCAGGACAGGCTAGAGAAGAAAACAGAGACTCATGCTAGCCAATGGGGAAATGAGATCAGAGGGCATGAATATTCCAATCATTAAAGACTCATTGCTGATTATAGGAGAGTTTTGTGTCATAAGTCTCCCATTGTTCCACATGTTGCTTTCTCCTAGGGCACTTTTCTTCCTGATTTGTTGAGGCATTTCATCATTCATTCTGGCATTTATCACACCAAGAACACTGGATAGGCAAGAAGTCTCTTGATCATATATAGCCTGTTCTCATCAATTCCTGGCAAGGACAATCTGAAGTATGCTAAGGGAAGAGTCTTGTGCCAAACAAACCCATAATTCTGGGTTTTAGATGCATTTTGGGGGGAGGTCTGGCCTTTTTTATTGTAACAAAGGTCAATATAATACAAAATTGTTGAAGAAGTCAAACATTAGTATACTACTAATTATACTAATGTTTATGCAAATATGATTATGATTTCTGTAAGAAACAACTGATCTACTTTTGATTATTCTGTTTGGTTCCTCTTATGGGCAGAAACAGAAATTGCACGAATGCCCTCAACTTGGTTTCCAAACAACAACAACAACAAAATCTTGACTCTGGTATAATCATGCCAATATCAACTTGTTCTGATTAATCCTTGGGAAGGATTAATTCTTTCTGAGATTTGTGATATCATCTCGGCTGTTTGTGATCTAGATTTTAGGCTTTGAAGTAGCTCTCTGTTTGTCCCTAGTCTGAGACATTTAGCTTCTTATTTAATAAACTAAAAAAAATCAGGTTTTTATTTATCTATGGGGAGGACTTCAAACATGTTTTTGCTGTAAGTGGGGACACTTCTTGGCTTAGAGAAAATGTAGAAATGGAGAGGTAAAAACTATAGTAATGAAGAAACAAAAGGTTTAAGAGACCTCACTTGCACTTAAAAACTTCAGTCAGTCAGCACGCTCAGATGAAGTAGAGCAATCCTTCAAATTGCATCTCTAAGAAGAGGTCCCTAAGCTGGGCATTGGTGGCTCACCCCTATAATCCTAGCTACTCAGGAAGCTGACATCAGAGTATCACAGGGCAAAGCCAGCCCAGGAAGGAAAAGCCATGAGACCCTTAATCACCAACGGACCACCAGAAAACTGGAAGTGGCTCTGTGATTTAAAGTGGTAGAACTTTAGCCTTGGGACAGTGCCCCAGTCCTGAGTTCAAGTCCAAAAACAAAACAAAACAAAAAATAGAAAAGAGGTCCCTGGAAGTAGCATGGAGGATTCTACCCAGGAAAGACAGAATTGGTTCTTCAAGGAAAACAAGATAGCATTTCATTCTTAGAATTATGAGGAGATATATCCAACCAATTGCATGAAAGGGATATTAACAATTCTTTGTGGCTTGGGGACAAACAAAATAAGTAATAAAAAGCTATTTAATGTTTAGCTTGGGAGACATAGAATTCCGGGTTTTGTGACATCTTCTTTTTCTTGGG